GAGTCTACTATCATTCCATAGGGTCTCTGAAAGACTAGACTACATTTTTGAAAGAGTAGAGCTCTTCCTGATCTGACTGTTTATCAAAGGCCTGTATTCTAGACTAGTAGGAAATTTGTTTTAGCCTAGTGATTGTCATGTATTACCGTGTATTCAGATCACCTGGGCATCTTGTAAGATACAGATTCTGAATTACTTGCTCCGGGTTAAGGCCCAAGGTTCTGGAATCCTAAGAAATTACGAGGTGAGGCTGATGCTGCTAGTCCAGGCCCCACATGTTGAGTAGCAAGGATTTAGCATTTACCTTGCAGTCCTGCACATCATTCGCAGCTTCCCTCTCCTCTGTCAGATGATAAATCACCTCTTCAAAACCCATGTATTTCCTCCTTGAACACTCCAGCTCCTCACCCCTGCCACTCTTTTGCAATTGTAAACAGAATTTCCGGAGACTTCTAAAGCCAGACTTTTCAGAGTAATACTGTGGCTTCAGTTGAGGTGCCTTTTCTTTTGCCCTTCCAGATATGCCACTACTTTGGAGGTATTTTGTGCTCATCAATGCATCATCAGTTTCCTCTCCCAGGATTCTCACCACATTTAGCAGCATTTCCTTGTGGATTTTGAGACTCAGAATTATAGACGTTTCTTTACTTCATCGAAGATGGAGTTTCCTTCTGTTTCTTATTCTTCTTGTTGCTTTCCCTTGGTTTCAGAAAGGAGAAATGGATAGACATATCTTGGTCCCACCACTTTAAATTCAAAGTTAGTATTTTTAAAAGCTCCTCATACATACATTTGAATTTGCCTCCTTATGGGAATGTACCAGTCTGCTACTCTTCCATAGAGACCATGAAAAGGGGTGGGGGCGGGGGGGAAATGGAGTTTTTCTAAACTGGAAGGCAATCCCCTTTGTAGAGCAGATCTGCTGTCCTTTATGTAAACAGCTTCACTTTTTGTTTGCTGTCTCTGACATCTGTGCAGAAAGCCTTCTTTGGAGGTCTTTAAAGGGAACTCCCCTGATGTCTCCTGGCATAAATGGTGCAGGTGAGGCTCAACCACTTGTCACCCAAGCCCTAGTCTCTTGCTGTTGGAGTTACCTTGTCCAATGTGCAGCCATCTCAGGAGTCTGGCAAGATAGCTTAAATACTAGCAACTGTGTACTGAGTCCAGTTGACCCCTGGAAATTTAACTTACCCTTGCTACAGGGGCTGAGGCAGCTCCCTATAATTACACACAGTATTTCTGCAGCAAAAGATAGGTATATCTACACACTTAGTGAGTCAGTGTTGCCCTCATATGTCAGTTCAGGTCTGTTGTTTTCTTTATGGGAACTTTCTCAACTGCCCTCCACCCTACCCCCATCCCATGGGAATTTTGTTAATTGGCCATCCAGTGATCCAATTCCCCTGGTATGTGAACTTGACCCAGCTTGGCCAGAGTACCCCCTACCCTGGATCTGGTGATTGGTCCAGAGTGGGCACATAGCATAAACTGGAACAAATTATATTTTCCTCCCAGGGATTGACATGGAGGCTCAGAAAGAGATCACCTTGCTTTTGGGATTAAAAGCTCTAAGGATTTTTTAAGTGTAATATCATCAGGTGCCATTTTCTTCCTGCCAAGAGACAGAACCTGCCAGAGAATGAAACAACTGAACACAGAGCTGTGAGCTATTAATCTCTGATGAGTCTGAACACTTACATGCAGCCTACCTGAGACTGTAACATACATGCTCTACATCTTTGAGTTGTAGGAACTAATAAATACCTTTCTCCTAAGCTGACTTGAATTAGGTTTCTGTCATAATCCTGATTACAGTTGTAATTTTATTTGTAAATTTATCAACTTTATACAGTCTTTCTTATGAAAGGTAAGGATTTAATTCATCCCACTGAGTTATATTAGCTCCTCTGATGTGTTTTAACTTGAAATACAGCTAACCTACATTTCTTATTCTATCGCCTTTAGACATCTCCTGAATCCCCTCTATATACAGTGAGCATATTTCCCCTTATCCTTGCTTCAAGCTCTTATTTCCTTGTCAACCTCCCACCATCCAGTCTATATAAGCTATATTTTGCCTTTACATTATTAGGTAGATATTAGATATGTAGATATATATACACATAGAGACTTCAGTGATTTGTCTATTTTAAAGTTGGAAATAAAATAGCATTAGATCGTTATCACCACGTAAATATTATTGCCTGAAGAGTCAGAGCCAAGCAATGTGTGACGATTACATTTTCTGCTCTACAAGTCCAATGTTATGATCCCAGTACCCACTTAAAGGAATCTATTCCTTGTATCAGTCATATGGACTTCTTTTTTCATATCCTAGTTATTTTCCAAAGTCATATCACATTTTATGGGGGCTTGCTTTATATTAGGACCATAATATCTGGTGTGGCTTCTCCTTTTTTTTTTTTTCCAGAGCCAGTAATTGTTTTTCTTTCCTTCTGACGAACTTTTATCTTCACCATATTACTAAAATCCTCAAACTTTGTATTAATTCTATTTAATGTAACCCACCCCTTTCATTCTTAAGTTCCTCTTCACTGACTCCCTGGATATCTAGCCTACCAGTAATTTGGTCTGATTCTTGCAGGGTGATCATCCTATTCATCCTCAGCACCACTTTACTGGGTTAGATCCACTGTTTAAAGCCTTTCCTGTTTTTTACCTTTTCCATCCAAATTTTGCTGAAGCTAATCATTCCATACCCTATTAAAAGACAGTGGGAGTAAACTGGTAATACAAAATATCAGTACTTGGCCTCATGCTTCATTACTGTTTGGGTATAAAGTTCTAGATTCAAAGCAGTTTTAACTCACAAGTTGGAAAGTGCTGTTCTGTATTCTACAATCTAATATTGCTCATCAGAGGGAAGGCTAATGCTATCTTGATTATTATTCTTTATCAGGAGAAATTTCCATATTTTGAAAGCTTTTAGGATGGCCTCATCTTTAGTATTATGAAATTTCACAAGCGTATTTCTGGGTGTCTTTTTTTTCTATTGTAATTGTGCTTTTTGCCACTTCAGCCTGCCCAACATTGAGTGAGCTATTCCTAGCTGAGTGTTCATAATTTTCTTCAGTTTAGAAAGATTCTTAATCATTTATTTGATACATTCCTATTATATTTTCTCTATTAATTTTTTTTCTGGAACTCAATTAGATGTTAGACCTTCTGAACTTCCAGGTCCCTTTTGTTTCTCATTTAACTTTTCAATTTATGAACTTGAAGAGTTTCCACAATTTTCTTTCAAACCTTCTATTACAGCAATAATGTTTTTTCATCCTTAGGAGTTCTATCTTATTCCTGTTTTTGGTAGCTTCCCATATTTGCTTTAAAAGTGCAACATCTATTCAAATCTCAGACTAACACAAATTTTTATTTTCTTCTCATTATATAATTTTCCCTACTCTGGTTTAGTCTCTCTCTTGGTCCTTATTATGCTGGTACTTTTCTTCATCTGTGATGATCCTTAGCTGTCTGTTCACACTTAATAATGATATGGCTTGATTATCTTAGGTAGATAGCAGGAGGTTCTTTGGTTATTCTCATTGTAGATCTGTTTCCCTGAATGAAAAGGTTTACTGGGCTCTCTGCCTGCATGGGAAAGGCTGGTGAGTTGATGGGAAATTCTCCAAATTCCAAAAAAGGTTTCAACTTAGGCTGCCAACTCTCACTGTAGCTGCTCTAGTTCTCCGTGAGTTTGTTGAATTTTTTCATAGTTTAAATTTTTAAAATTTTAACATTCTTATTTAAAACTTCAAACATTACAGATAATGGTAAACCTACCCTCTTGACCAGAATGTCCAATTCTAGTTCCCTCCCCCAAAGAAACACTTATCAGTTGGATGTGTCTGTTCAGGACTTTTTCTAAGTATTTGCATACTTATATAAATGTATTAGAAATATATTTTAAATATATAATACTCTATTATTATGAAAATTTTCCATTTTCAATCAGTGTCTTTTAGTCAAATCCATACCAATATTACAAGTCCATTTTTTTAAACTGGTGCTAGTATTTCTAGTCATGCCTCTATTGATGGAAATTTAGACTGTTCCCAGTTTCATGTACTGTGCTGCCCTCCAAAGGGGTTATAGTGAGCATTTTTAAAACTTCAGTGCCTCCAAATTAGCACTGATGAGTATTTATTTCTCTACACAACTACCAAGTTTTTTTTTTATTATTGTAGATTACTTAAATTTGCATCTCTCAATACTAGCAAGGTTAAGCAGGGACTCATATTTATGGTCCATCTGTATTTCTTCTGACTTGCGCATTTTTTTTTTTTTTTTAATAAATTTATTTGATTTATTTATTTTTTATTTTTGGTTGCGTTGGGTATTCGTTGCTGCATGCGGGCTTCTCATTGCCGTGGCTTCTCTTGTTGCAGAGCACGGGCTCTAGATCGCGGGCTCAGTAGTTCTGACGCACGGGCTCAGTTGCTCCGTGGCATGTGGGATCTTCCCGGATCAGGGCTCGAACTCATGTCGCCTGCATTGGCAGGCGAATTCTTAACCACTGCACCACCAGGGAAGCCCTGACTTGCGCATTCTTGTCCTTTGTTCATTTTTATTCTTGCTTGGTTGTCCTTTACCTATTTATAGGTACTCTTACATCTCTCCCTTTGTATTACGATTTTTTTTCCCATTCTGTTTCTTATCTTTGTCTTTTTAAAAGCATTCTAACTTTTGATTTAATCAACTTCATTATGGCTTTCATTTTTGTCTAATTTAGGAAGATATGTCCAACAGCAAAGTCATAAGCATATGGTACTATATTTTCTTCTAACACTTTACTATTTACTTTAACATTTAGGATTTTATTTAACTGGAACTAATTTTTGTGAATGGTGTGAAGGAAGGATCCATTTCAATTTACTTATAGAAGAGAGGGTGGAGTGGGAAGGCTGTTGGCAGGGGTACTAACATAACTTTCACATAAAAAATCATTAACTGTCTTGTCATCGTGTCTCCTTATTACCCAGCCTCTACACAAGCCAACTCAAAGCATGAACTTTTCTAGGGACCCTTTGGACAGACTGACTCCCTTTACTGAAATCCCTGTTATGCCAACATTTCAGGTAACAGCTTCTTCTGCAACATTTCATGAATAACCACTCTTTTCCCTTTTGTCTTTTATAAAATTTGATTCTTTCATCCACTGATGACTTCTGCTCTTTTTTGATACCTTTTAAATTGTTTTATCTTTTAATAGGATATGGAGGAAAGATAAACTTGTGTTTAACTGCAAAGAAAACCTTGATTCCCAATGAAAATTTTGATGCTGACAAGTTACCTTTCAGAAATACTGTACAAATTCATACACCCTTACATCAGTACATAGAAGTACCTCCTCTCCTATGCTTTTGCAATGCAAATTTTATCAATCTGATATTGAAAGATGGTAGTTCATTTGTTTAACTTGTGTTCTGATCCTTGTGAGATTCTGTACTTACCACTTTCATCAGTCACCTGTTGGCTCTTTATACCCTTTTGCCCATGAGGGGAGGAGGTGTCATTTTTCTAAATGACTTGTAGAAGCACTTTTATGTTAAGTATACGAACTTCATAAGTTAAACATTTTAATGATTTTTTCCAACTCTAATGTTTAAAAACCTTTCGTTTGTACTATCTTTGACTATATAAAAGCTTTAATTAAAGTTCTTATATAGTCAAACCTAGAATCTTTGTGTGTGTGGCTTCTGGATCTCATGTCGTATTTAGGAAGACCATTCTTCATGATTATAAAGCATGTTATGGTGTCCTCTAATGACTCTGTTTTGCATCTGGATAAAAGAATGAAGTGATTGTTTTGTACAGAAATAATTTTTTTGAGCCGAATCTCATTTACCAATACTGTTAAGCCACTGACATGAAATATCACCTTTATTATATATTTCCTTTATGTGTGTATGTTGTGAATGTGTATGTGTGTATGTTGGCAATGTTTCAAGCCTTAAAAAGAAAGCCTTATTTTGTCAGATACAAAGAATCTATAGATTAATTTGAGGCCTACTAACAAATCTATAGATTAATTTGGGGCCTATTAACATCTGTAGAGTACTGAGTCTTCCCCTACAGAAGGATAAAATGTCTATTCTTTTAATCCTCCATTAAACTTTAGTTATTTTCTTTGTACTTATGTTCACAAGAGAACTGGTTACTGCATTGATTGCATGCTCAAAGCCTTCAGGAGTCAGGAAGTAATATAAAGTGTAAAACAAGTCAGATGTAAGGGAACAGGTAGTGGTTTGAACTGTGGAGAACTGGAAAACGCATGTCCATCTAAAGGTATTCATATTCATTTGAAACTTGATGCATATCAAATCAAACATGTTGATGAGTTTTGACCTATAGTTTTGGTTTCTCTTCCCTCTAGTTTTGGAATTACAGCTTAGAAGCTTAACAACTTTTCTATTTAAATGACATGTGTTTAATACAATTCATCTACCTGAAATTAAGAGAGGTGAGTTAAACTTAAATTTTACTTTCTATTCTTCTTTGGTTATTGATCTTTTAAAGTTTTCTGTCTTTTAAAAACTATATTGCCTTTGTTTAAATGCAAATGATGAATACATCTCAGTAAATTTTACTTATTACAAGTGATTTTTTTTTTTTTTTTTTTTTTTTTT